ACTCGCCCACAATGGGCGGAGCGTGCCCTGAAGTACACAGCGTTCCCTATAATTCCCCATAATTCGGTTCCGAGAAGTCTTGGAAAGGGGAAAAAAGGTAGAGAGGTCGAAGCAGAAGTAGAGGCTAAATGCTAGTGCTGGGCGTTTTCAGCACAGAAGTAGGCAAAGTTTGCAGCCAAACCTAAAACTCCGTTATAGAAGTCCCGGAGACCGGGAGAAAGTGGACTGAGGTTGGCGAAGGAAAGAAGGTCGACTGCCCTTGGTGGGCGGGGCATGCTCAAAGCGGCGGGGTTGTCCACAAAATTATGCAACTTGGTTCAGACGTCCAGAGACCAGGAAAAGTGGGTCGAGCTTGACGAAGGGAGGGAGGTCAACCGCTATTGGTGAGCGAAGCATGCACCACAGTAACCAGAGTTTGTTGCCAAGCACATAAATCGCTCGTAGGGGAAATATGGGGAGAGATGGTGAGGAAGGAAAAGGTGAATCTCACTGCGAAATTGAAAGTTGACCCAGAGGCAGTCCGGACTTCGGAGACCAAGAAACAGCGGACAATGGTCGGCGAAGGCGAAAGAGGAGAGGTCAAAAGCTATCGTCGAATGGAGCATGCGACAGGCGGATAGAATCCAGCTTAGAAGTCATATTCGTAGTGTATTGGGCCAAATTTATAATTCACCCCGCACCATGCCATATCGCTGCAGAACTGTATTGTACGCGCAACGCGTGCGGCACTAACTGGTACAAATAATTGTCCACTCATTCTCTATAAGTCTTAAAGTCTTCAGTGAGAAACCGTTTTTGAAAGCGAAGATTCATTTTTACGGTGGACATGGAACAATGCAGATACCGTTTTCTTTGTAAATTCGTAAATTGGTTTGTGGTCAAAGAAACAGAAGCGCTACTTTCATCTGAGTGTAGTGACCAACTCCAATTACTCGCTTTTCCTATATTAGTAATTTTCCTGAGTCACACCACGATTTTTTTATTCGGTGAACCAAGCTAATACACTTTGAAATAGACTTCATAACAATTATATCGCAAGCCGTAATTGTGGTCCCGATTCTCCATTCACCTTTTTTGCCATCCTCGTCCTGTTCAGATTGCGTGCATTGACTCCGTACAAATTCTGTCCACAGCCTTTTCCTTCCTTCTACGATTAGTGAGCCCATACACATTTTCGGTCCCACTCTATCGTATTTTCTTCACTCTCTCAATCATAGCTCTTCATCAGTCCATCACTACTCATTTGAAATCTTCTAACTTTGGGAGTGCTGTAATATAAGAACTAGTTGGTTCCTTAATCTATGCCCTGAATTGGTACATGGTAATTCGACACCGTAGGAACAACAGGAACACATATCGTCGCATCACTACAACACATTCAGGACGAGGTCCCTTTCTCGCTTCTCAATTGTGTGGGACGAGCGCAATTTTGTAACAGCGCATACACGTTTCAATGAACACTGCTGGATTAGGTCAGAAATCCTCCTGGAAAATGGAAATGGAGCTTGTGGGAAATATTCTTGTCGTGAGAAGACAACTTTACGCTGCGCTCACGGTCACAACGGCATACCACACAAGTTGAATCAGCAATTGAAGCACGTTGTTTAGAGTTATGGTCATGTTCTGTGTATTGGGCTTTGCTCCCTGTTCATATGAATATGTGATAGATTTTGTCGGATTGGCAGTTATGTTATGTAACCAGTACATCATTGGGTGGTGATTGTACAGACAAATACTGGTTATAAAGGGTATCTGAATGAGGGGAGTACTACCACGGAGAAAGCGGTTTCTTATTACTTCTGTGAATCGGACTTGATTTTCTAGCGATGGACACAGCAGATGCACCCGAAGCAACGAAATCGGTTTGACCAGTCAGTCAAAAGACCGCCTTATCCGAATCAACACAAGACGTCGGCTGAGAGAACAAACTCGCGAAGTTCGCAGGACTTTTTATATCGCGGATGACGTGAATACGACCGCAAGTGAGTTTACCTCCTCGGCGATTCATAAAGTAACGCTTACTTGCGGAGAGCAATCATGAGCTAGCTCGCGCTTTGTGCAACCTTTTTTGACATGCGTTGTTAGCGGTGTCCTTCGCCGACGAAAGCTTCCTAGTCGTAGCAGGCCCAAGTGTATATCACATAGGCGCTTGCTTTGCAATCATCTTTATGATGCAGGGATTTTCGGGAATGGATTCGCCTTTGGGATACATGTGCGCGAGAAATTAGCCACTGTTGAATTCAAGAAGGAGCTCTCGATCACCCCAAGAAACATAGACATGTTCAAAAGGCGTCATCACCCATCCTTAATTAACGCGGCTTACTGGTGGCGGCATCTGGGGCCTGCTAACTGATGTCAACCCATGAAGTCCTGCGCGCTTCTTCAAAGTAATATTAGAGACCGCTACACATTCACTAAATTCTCACAGAAAGCTGGAAAAGAGTTGTCGCTCTGGTCGTGTCCATTTTTCAGAAGGAAGGAAGAGCTCGAATTTTTTTCAGAGGTTTGATATTAAAAAATCAAGCATGCGGTTGGACCTCTTAAAACATTTGGCCCATCAATGTATTTGGAGGCAGGAGGACGCTGCATTAAGAGAGCTCCTTTTTGGAATCACGGGATTGAATGAGGAGGAGAGCAACCGAGCGACTTGAGATTACCGATCAGAAGAGATGAAACATTTAGAGCATGTACGCTTCTTTATTAATATGTATTTTGCATAGCCTAGCCTTTCGTTGATGAGTGTTGTCTGAGTGATTTCCAAGAAAATATTTGAGCACAGTATGAACGTGTTTTCATTCTTTCCATTCGCTCAAATTCGCAACAGGTCTGATAAGAACGGTACTGTCAAGTCTCATCGAGAATCTGATAAAACCATTATAGCCGGAACTTTTGGAGAAAAGACGAACCGCTTCCTCTTGCATGAACCCTTTTTTCCACGCCTGTAATGAAAAACCGTCTCGATAAGATAACGAGCAACTTAGAAGCAGTAAAGCAGAAATTTGCCCTTCATCTTGTTACGATGCCGTAGCCCACTTTTCACTTCAGCTCTACTCTTTTTAAGATCGGCCAACATCAAAAAGTTATTACAGAATGTTGCGTCCGATCTTGGCATTCACTGTGGTCCTCGTTTGGACAACAGCTGAGCCGCTCCCACCTATGAATGGCAACGCAATCACTTGCGCAGTGTGCAAAGAAGCCGTGAAAGTCGTGCTACCGTTGCTGGAACAGACCACTGCAGAAATTGTAGAGGCTAGTTTATATGGAATTACTGAAGCATAGTAGGCAAGCCAGCCTACATTCGCTTTTCCTTTCTATTTCTATGGCGGAATTGGTCTTTCTTCGGCTACGAACCTGTATGTGAACAAGGGTGAAAATGTAGTTCGAGGGGCCTTTCATATCAAATCGTGTGGAGCTGGGAGCACTCAATCTAATCAAAGTAGAGTTGCGGAGACACTCATATCTTATCAAACATCATCATCCATTCGCTTCGACAGTGGCCTACGACCAGTGCGTCACGCTTGCTATCCTCGTCGTATTATTCTATAGCAGAAATAATGCCAGCTTGCTGACCCTTCGTTTCGCCAATTCTTCCTCCATTCTTTGCCATGCAAGCAGCAGTTTAGGTATCCGATTTCGTACAGATTCCAGGGTTGTAACCCTATCTGATCGAACACTTGAAGCCTCTACTCCGAATATTGATTAGATATGAGTGCAATTGTTCAACTACACTTTGATTAGATAGATGGGTGGCCTACTCGAACTAAATTTTCAGCGTGAGCAGGAATTCAGAGCACAATTTCAAATTTATCGAATTAAAGCTGAGAGGAAGATAGGGGACAAATCTGCAATGGGTTAGTATTCTGCTCACGTATCGAACACGCAGCTTCTTCAAATCGAAGCAATTCTTTTTATCGACAGAAAAAGACTCCATTTCTGCCTATAGATGAATACGGTCACCAACCAAAGACGGATGACTCCAAGACCATGACTCATGGAGTCGTTTTTGATCATGAAATTGTGACAAACCACTCTCAGTCTTAAGTAATCTTTTTGAGTTCTGTTTTATAAGCTTACAAGTATTGCAGAAAAACAATTATATTTTTTAAATTCTGGTTCCGATAATTGGCGCCTTCTCTATTTTGTAAACTGTTAGTTAGTTCTCTTTTTTTTTTGAAGTTCAAATAAGTCACTCTGCTCCGCCTCATCCTGTAAGGAGTCATCTCTCTTGGCAAGCCAGCGGTTCTTGTGTTGGACCGCGTACTATTTTCAGTGCATCTGATCAATTTCATCAACGAAAGCTTACACACATATATTGGGTTGCAACTTTGAAATGTCAATTTCGATCATCAGTCACTTTCATTGTGAAAAACAAAAGCAAAGCACATCAGCCTTAATCATCTTCTCCATCTGTATCACTGGCTCTTCTACTTTTGCTACGCGAAGCATGGACGCCTTCCTCGGAAAGTCAGCATCAGTATCAGTATGTATATCTGAGATATTGAAGTCTCATCTGATGCCTGTCCACCAGGATGATAATCGCTTGAGGAAAAGGCAACGGCTCGTCCGCGAGGATTCATTCACCAGCTCTTCCCACGATGAAAGCCGCAACTTTCAAAGGGGTACCCTATTCATTTGCCTGTAAGTAACTTCGCATCCCTCTTGGGCCAGCTGCGAGTTCGCCTCGCGGCTGCTCCGGCATTGATTCATTAACTTCTCGACGTTCTTACTCTTTGCCTGCACGGTTCGAGTCGGCCATGTCAGGATAATCCTCGACGGGGCGTTATTCTACCCCGCTGTCCACCACCAGGAACACTTGCTAACGATTACGTATGCTAAGCCTTTTGAGTTTTATTGAATTCAAGTTTTGTGATTCTTCGTGCTTCACCATATTCAGCGACAGCGACCGAAGGCAATCACCAGATTTTGGTTTGTTTTCTGCCTAAAGCTTCGAGATTTTCACACAAGCAGATTATATTTTCTTATTGTGCTTAGATATAAACAAGTCCGAATATAGATAAGCCTTCTTCACTAATCTTCTCTTCTACGGACGTTTCTGATAATATTATAGCTTTTCATAAGCGGTCCATGGACAGAACATTTTCTTTTTCCAAAGAAAGGTAACGAGCTCTAATTTTTATATTCGAACCTGAAGCTAAATATTGCTTAGCGGGTGATCACAGTCGTTACAAGGAAGGATACCAAGTCGAAAAGCCATTTTCACGAGACATACACTACTATTACAGATCTGTTTTTGGGCGCTGATCTCGAATCTTCTCTCCAAATCCGCGAAACGATTCTCTGGACTTAGTTATAAAGCGCGATAATGCAGTGGTAGCGGCGGGGCCAACGAACAAGAGGTCGTGGATCGACTTCTTGGCGAGTTCTTACTTTTGCTTTTCTTGAAACATTGTTTAAAGGAACTTTTATCCATGCTTAGTCATCAGCGATTGCCAATCATACAAGTGGAAAGAGCTGGCGAAGTGCTTCGAACACTGTGTGCGTCATTTGCCGTGCCTGTCGGTCGTGAATGCCCACATTTTCGACTTTGGGTCAAAATTTTGGATTTGGATCAAAAGTTGTCGCAAGGGGTACTTTGATGCGCTGAACACGAAAATCACATCTATTTGGCAAGAAAGTGCATGACGCATGCGCTACGGGTGCCAGAGACGGTCATTTGCAAATGATGACGCACACAGTTCGAAGCTCTTTCCACTTGTATGATTGGCAAGCGCTGATGCCTCTAGCTATGAGACGTAAAAGTTCTTCAACCAATGTTTCCGAAAGAGGCAAAAGTAAGATCTCGCAAGGAAGGTCTATGCGACATACTCTTAGGCCCGGGCCGCTGCCACTGCACTATCTCGCTTCATAACTACGTTCAGGGAATCGTTCCGCAGATTTGGAGAGCAGATTCGAGATCAGCGTCCAAAACACATCTAGTGGTGTATGTCTCGTTACAAATGGCCACTTCGACCTGGGAATCCTTCCCTGTTCAGCCGTAGCCATAAATCAGGCAATTTCGGCTTGATCAACATTCAGCCTCGATTAAAAGCCACATAAAAAGGGTACCGTAACAATCATAAGATTTCTAAACACCATCTGCGTTTCTCATCCAAATGTTTCGGAACAAGTTGTGAACAGAAGTGGTGTTGGGAACTCAATCAGTGGATATGGCGTTTGAGATCAACTCCACCTAGAATAGAGCCACTAGCGCTTCTAATGGCGGAAGGAATGGACAATGGACCGCGCTGAAAGGCTATGCAGTTGCAGAGAAATCTCAGAAAGATTTGATTATTGAAAACAACAGAGCCGAAGGTGGACGTCGTGGTCTCAGTGCTCACTAGGAAAGCATGAAGGGCCGAAGTGGCGATGTGCTATGAGACCTCCTTTGTTGGACACATCTCCAATGTAACGCTGATCTCTAATCTGTTTTCGAAATCTGCCGGCCAATTTTACGAACGGAGTTATGAAGCAATACCTATAGAAGAGCGGTAATGGTGCGAGCTCACGAGCGAGAGTTCGAAGGATCGATCACTGACGGGTGATTTGGCTGCAATTTTGCCCCTTAACAAACTTTTATCTATGGAACCAAACTTGTTAAGAGTTTTTTTATAAGCTCTTCACATGAATAACTATTTGTAGTGTAAGCAAGCGTAGATTAAACGAAGTGCTTGGGAGCAATTATAATGTTATCTCCTGCAACGAGGTTTTTTGCTGGAGACC